GGTCGTTCAGCCCATAGCCAGTCGCTATATCGACTGAGCTATCCCGGCTTATAAGAACAAACTTAACAGAAAGGCTAGTGTTTGTAGGCAGACAATGATGTTTCAACGTTGTAGTGTGTAGGTTCAATTTAGTCACACGGGGAGGTCATATGAAACGTCATCATGAGCCCCAAGGGGAGGAGTAAGGAAATAATCCTGGTCTTGACCAATAGGGAAGGAGTCTTCGTAGATCAACCCTTTGTAAATCTTTCAAAAGGAAGTCAAGTTGGGAAAGTAAAAGTTCTACTATCCTGAAGACGGAGGCAGTAAAATCCTCCTTAACATTGGACCTTTAGGTTTATATTCAGATTATGATGCAGTATCCCAGAAGACAAAAAGGAACCCTGAAATCTCATAAACTTTACTTTGCAATCAGTTCGCCGTGATCATGCGGCAACTTCTCCGATTCTGAAGTTATGCAAGTAGTCTAAACAAGATATTGCAGGCGACTTGAAGCCTGAACGTAAACTTTCCGCATCTGCGGGCATATTCTTCATACAACTTTCGTACGTTCAGACAGGTTCCTAATGAATTCCCCAAAGAGCGGTCCATTTTGCGGGAACCAAGAAGCGCGCACAGGATGTTCGGAAGAGTTACTCCTATCTCCAGCACGCATTCCGGGGTCTGCTTTACTATTAACAGGACTAACTTCTGCGAGTGACCCCGTGTCGCCTGGTCGGGACGCAGGGTGGTTTTTAATATTTTGAACTTGAGGTTCTCACAGCGGTGACTATGAAGATTACTATAGTCTGTGGTGTGACGCCGTGTAGCCTGGTAAAAATTTGCCGACTTTTCGGAAGAACGTACTGCCTCCATCTTCAGTACCGAGAATAAATGCAATCAAGAAGTATACAGCACGCCAAGTTAATTTTTACAGTTTAATAATCGTAATTTGAACATGAGATACATTTCTTATCTACTGTCTTCAGGTTTTATGAGGTCGCCTTTCGGGCTAGAGCCCAGTCGTTATTAGTTTTCTGTTTCGACTAACATTTCAGTTGCCATCTTCAGGGCGAATATCATGTACCGGTAAAATATATCGGTATAATAGATCCAAGGAAGGGATTTAGGAAAAATTAAAGCGATAAATTAGTTACCGTGTTGTCCAGAGGCTAGGGATTAGGAGGGAAAAGAGGCAAACTCAGATCTCATTTGCTCCATATTCGTGTACTCGTTTAATGTCCATTCCAAACTACACTACGTCCAATATATATATATATATATATAAGCATACGAGTATTTTTCCTCGGGTATACGAGATGGGACACCAACCAGAAGCCAGCCGGAACACTTCATACATCAAGGAAATAACGGCACAACATCAGAACCGCCAGAGAGTGACTACTCCACACAAGAATCCACATTCCCCAAGAAGAACTAGAATACACGGTCAGCATACCCGAGGAATAATATGCTTATATATATCTTCATCTTAAATTTGATTTCAAGAAATTTAAAATCACATTTTTAATCAATTCATTTTAACTTTCAATATCTTGTAACAAATTCAATACCGAAACAGAGAACAACCCTACAATATGTGTAAATATTAGGTACAGCTTCAGCGCTTAAGATGAATCAGCTCCTGATGACGAGCCATTACAGGTCGAAACATATTGTGCCCCAGATATGGTACCTTCATATAAATAGGTCATCTGTATACCTTTCATAAATTGTTGTTTTAACTGAAATAAACAAATAAAATAAAAAACAAATCAATAAATAAACATTTTTATTTTCCCAATACATTTAAAAGATACTTAGCGATAATTTTATTCGTAAGAATTGCCATCGACCATTAAAAGTCGATTTATTGCTCACTACGATATTTTCTTTCCGCTAATGCCCGCGTTTCTATACGTAGTAATGTTTCAGTTTTTCCATTTAGCAGGTAATGGCAGCTCATGTGTCCCTTCTTAATATAATCCTCTTGTCTCTTAACGGCATATTGTAGAGAAAATTATAAAATCAATGGGAATACGAGGTCGCCTTGCTTTCCACTACTGTCAGATATTCATGAAGCAAATGCCGGCCTATACATGGCAACGTCAGGATAATGTTTTTCCAATTGGGACGCCAGAATATTTTCTAAAGGAAAAAGGTCAAGAAAATTACCGGCGACTTTTTTAAATAAATTTTTTATTGCTAGTGCGGTGGGACTAAGTCCCTTTTACTGCGGCCAGTTCTTGCCTATTGTACCAGTCCCAGATGATAGGTGAGGGTGATTGTGGAGCAATTGGGGGAATGAAGATTGGCAGGGGAAACCGAAGTACTCGGGGAAAACCTGCCCCAGCGCCACATTGTCCACCACAAATTCCACTTGATCAGACCCGGGATCGAACCCGGGCCGCCGCGGTGGGAAGCCAGCGACTAACCGCTTGAGCTATGACGCGGCCTTTAAATAAGTTAATAAACGCATCTGTGCTCAGGATAAGAAAACACAAAATGTAAATGTGAGTACACTTTTGTCCTCATTCCTTTCTTGTTTCCTCGTAAAGTGGGGGGGGGGGGAAGATGACTTCAGATGAAATTAGAACGCGTCGCCGTAAGCCTATCGATATGCTTAATGCAGTCAAAGTCAAAGTCACATTGCGACTGACTGTTTGACAGTTTAGGTCTTGTTATTGTGGGGCGCCCTCTCTGACGAGATGACGGGTCTGTCTTTTGTCAGAGTCATTGTTTGTAGTAGTAAGTCATTTGTCATAATGTAAAGGACATTTACTTCCACCCACCACGTGCAATTCCTAATTCACGCAAATGAACTGAGCGAATCTTACGCTATATCTCTGCATATACAGAGTGAGGCATTTCCTGGTGTCATATGTAATGAAGGGATTATTCCACCTGATAATGTTAAATGGATCACCCTGTATATTTCTGATGGATTTTAGCTTCTCATGGCGGTGACTATGGAGATTACTGTCTTCCTGTGATGCCGTGTATTCTGGTACAGCGCCACGAACGTTTCGGAGGAACCTGCTCCCTTAGGTAGGCAGCACACCGGCATGTGTCAAGACATGTAACAGGCAAGACACGGTGTCTGCGACATGACGCAAAGAAAGGAGCACAGTTGAAACGAATGAGATTATGAAAACCGCCACACACCGGTCTGAGTCATGATGCTGATGAATCACGAATGAAGCAAAACTGCGTATTTTGTCTCGTGTCTTGATGCTTGACTTGACGCAGTTGGAGTGCGGCCGCCCTTAATCTTAGGCGCAAAAGAGTAAGCCAGGAGTGGAGGTAAAACATGTATGGATAGAGACAGATGGGGAACCGGGGCCTGAAAAACCAATAGAAACAAGGAGAACCTTGGATCTACCAGGTCACAAGACGTCACATCCCATAAAACCAACCCTGAAGAAGGAAGCAGTATGTGCTTCCGAAACGTTTCCATATTATGAATCACTCAGAAACACGTTACATTCTTTGTCTTCGATCCGGATATGAAACGTACCTTTCTGCTCCTCACTGCCTTCAAATACGAAGTGGCAGAAAGTATGTGAAAATACATGCAATTCATAGGAGTAAAGATAGAAAGGTAAAGCTGTCCCTGTGCTTAATTAACTAAGCACTACGCCATGAAGGCGTATGGGGGAGTGGATGTCTAGATCAATATTTTCTTGACTTCGGCATTAGTTGGAGAAGATTGGTCAGATTCAGGCTCCGGCCGCTTTACCCCCGGAGAAAGAGCCCCAGTACCCATTGGATGGATCCCAGAAGCGATCTGGACGACGTGGAGAAGTGAAGATTCTTACCCTCACCGGGACTTGAACTCCGACCCCTCGGTCTTCCAGCCCATAGCCAGTCGCTATACAGACTGAGCTATCCCGACCCCTTTCCATAGGAGTGCCTTGTTATTATACGTGCATCTGTTACATCTGAAAACATTCTTATCTGATAGTCCTCAGTAATACCCAACTCAACGAAACTGAGGCGTTCTTTACAAGTCGCCAGTCGCTCAGCTACTCAAACAATTCCCAGCACTTTATGGAACCCGAAAACTCGTTACCTTTTTCACAAAAGCCCACCACTGTTCCAAATCCTGAGCCAGATGAATCCAGTTCCCTCCTACCTTTTTAAGATCCATCTTAATATTTCCTTTCATCTGCGCCTGGGTTTTCCTAGTGGACTCCCGCCTTCAGACATTCCTACCAAAACTAAAAATTCTCCAACATACTTCTGCATCCTCCTATATCAATATTTCATTATCATTATCATCATCATCATCATCATCATCTTGGTATGTGGTAGCGTAGTTGGTTGAGGCACTACGTTACAAGAGTACAAGGTTCGTGGGATTTTTCAATTGCCCTAATCCTTCTAACCGCACTATAGCCCTAGGGTTGACTCAGCCTCTAACATAAATGAGTGCCAGAAATTTTCCTGAGGGGTAAAAGGGCGGCCGGCGCGTAAGACTGACAACCTCACCGCTATCTGTGAGCCGATTGTCTAGAAGATGTGGGAGCCTCGACGTCTCACAGCCCTATGGGCCTCCAGAGCCTGTTACATGGATTGCGTTACCTTCTCCCTCATCATCATCATCATCATCATCATCATCATCAAGCTTTATTTTAGATGAACCAAACTAATATCACAATCATCAAGCCTTCTTCTTTCTATAAAAATTACTGTTATCATAAACAAGGAATATAATATCATCACAAGGGATGCTAATTACATAATGCGAGTACCATTTTGGTGATTGAAAAAAAAAACTTTCTAAAAGTGAGAAATCATCGCAGAAATCCTCATTCGCTCATATTTTTATTACACTCACCATAACTAGTTTCTTATATATAGATTTTAGAAGTACGCGTAATCACGAGTACGTCCCGGATGTCCCATCTCTCGTCTCCATGTAACATAGCTCACTATAGAAGTAAACAAACTGCAATGTGACCGACATTTCGTGCGCCAGAAACTTTTTGTTTAATTTATCAAGATTAGGGGGTACTCACCCTTGTGTACGATTCGTTACCGTCTCCCTCGAGGCCCTTCAACCGAGGTTACCACATCACAGCTCGCTCGGTGTGTCACGCGCCGATCTCACGAGAGCGACTACAAACGATTACCATTCCAGCCACCATAACTAGGCGGCGCTGGGGAGGCAGCTAGAGAGACACGCGTGAAAATTGTTTCGCGTCACGAGCCACTAAATTCATAAAATTTGCTTAACATGTTAGCAATAGAACATGAAACCTTCATATTTCGTTTAAAGAGGTGATTATTTACTATATATTAAAAAGGTATGTAGGTCTTCAGAGACTAATGTCAGTTGCCCTACCATCTGTAGGACAATATGCAAACTACACACTACCAATTAATTATACGCTAGTGACATCTATACGGCAATCGATATAACTGTCAAGACATGCTCTGACGGAGGTTTTCCAAACTAGAACAGATCCATTACGACAGCTCCATGTTAAGTTCACCTACTGATTCGGTAAAGCTAGCCGGGGTACCGCAGTCGGTAGAGCGACTGCGTACGGACTGGAAAACCGAGAGGTCCGGGTTCGAATCCCGGTAGTCATATCGTCCAGACAGGCCCTAAGGCCCATCCAGCCTTCTATCCAATGGGTACCGGGGGGTCTTTCCCCTGGGGTAAAGCGGCAGGGACGTGAAGCTGACCACTCACCTCGAACTAGTGCCGAAGTCAATAAAACTTGAATCTATACATCCACTCCCCCATGCGCCTTCATGGCGTAGTGCTTAATTAGCTAAGCACAGGGACAATTTTACCTGTTATTGATACAGTAAAATAAATTGTTTGCCAACGCAGCCACCTATGCATGATTTTGGTTGTCCCTTCTTAAAATCGACCCCGTTCTTCGGGTCAACCAATTATGGCTCTAAGTTCAACTTTCCACACCACTGCCACACTTCCTAACCCTTTCCTCTCCGAGACACGAATCCTGAAGATGGTAAGTAAAATGTTTGTCGAAACGTTACAAAACTTTCAACAATCTACACGGCGTACTTCCGGAGACCAAAGTAACATTGCTGTCATATTGCAAAATGAAGTAAAACGAAATTCATGTTTGTTAAAATTCACATAATAATACCAAAGAACAAAAGAACAAGAAGAAATTCCGGGAAGAACTAATCACTTACTTTCGTTTGATACGACACGGATCGCATAGAAAACAAAACAAAAAAATTAGAAAGGCTACACAGACACAGTGAGGTGATCTCATAAGCGTGACAAACCTAAAAAATGGGGGGGGGGTACACAGACAGCANGCAGGGTGATGTCATAACCCTCCGATCAATTTTGGGGGGGGACATTGCGAAAATAGACTAAACAGGGGAGGTAAAAAGATATTATGTTATCGTGTCTCAAGTTTTTCATTGGGATAAAATTTCCAGAACGAAACTCCTTGTGGCCGAAGTAACGGAAGCTTCACGGCCCAGTTCTGGCTCAACAGAGCAGTGAAGCTGTAGACTAACCCCAAAATCCACGAACCAGGACATTTAACACGCACGACAGTGGGCGCAAACTAATATCAGCATCCTAAGGGGCGTCATAAAACAACGAACAAAATATTACAGTAAGGTAAGGTAAAGCTAGTGAACGGAGAAGTTCATGTAGGTAGGCCTAGGCCCACTGGGGCTGTAGGGCCAAGGAAAAAAAAATAAAAGGTAAAGCTATCCCTGTAACAGGCTGTGGAGGCCCACAGGTTTGTGAGACGTCGAGGCTGGCATATTTTGTAGACAAATCGGCTCGAAGATGGCGGTGAGGCTGTCAGCCTTACGCACTGGCCTTCCTTTACCCCCAGGAAGACTCCTGGTACTCATTTCTGTTAGAGGCTGAGTCAACCCCAGGAACAAAGTGTGGCTGGAAGGATTAGGTCAGTTGAAAAATCCAATAACCTCATCGGAACTCGAACCCGCGACTTTCCCGCTTGTAGCATAGTGCATGAACCAACTACGCGTGTCCCTGCAGGAGGAGGAGGAGGAGGAAGAAGACGAACAGAGAGAAGGAAGAAACAAAGAATAACAAGCAGTCTTGGCATTTCAGTTTTACTGGTCTGTCAAATACGTTACTCGGCAGGGCCTGTGAGGGTGTTCCCTATTGACAACCCTGCTAACTGAATCGCACCGGAAAAGGGACTTGTGGGTAATTACGCAGTTCGTTCGTGCGTTCGTTCGTTCGTTCGTGAGTGCGTCTGTGCGTGGGTCTTTGCGTGTGAACGAAGTTTCCATTTGAAATAAATTACGAAATACAGCTTGTTGAGGGACCTACCTTCTGCTAGCCCTCAGTGGCGTTGGACAAGAGCACACCAGCGATCTCTATGCATTTACATAAAGCAAAGTCCGACTTATTGGTACAGTTTGGCTGTCAACAGTCTGACAATATGTCTCTCGAGTAACTTAACTTCTGAAAGATCGCTGTTCTCTTGGGTGTAACGGGGGCAGGCGTAGTTGGTTGAGGCACTATGCTACAAGCCGGAAGGTCGAAGGATCGAATCGGATGAGGTGCATTTTTTCAATTGACCTAATCCTTCCCGCCGCACTATGGCCCTGGGGTCGACTCAGTCTCTAACAGAAATGAGTACCAGGAATATTCTTTGGGGTAAAGAGCGGCCGGCGCGTAAGACTGAGAACATTACCGCAATCTATGAGCCGATTGTCTAGAAAATGTGGGAGACTCGACGTCGCACAACCCTATGGGCCTTCACGGCCTGTTACAGGGATAGCTTTACTTTACTTGCTTGTATTTAATGTGGTGTACCGAACTTAAATGTAAATCTGTTGCTACTAACTTCAAGGTGGAGCGTGGGCAAGTAACGCACGTAAAATGGTCAAAACAAGGACTGTGGTTTCGTTGCTCAAGTCACCGACCGCTCTCTCCCTGAAGTTGATCGCAACAATTTCCTCCGATATCACGGTAAATATCTACCTGACAAGACGTCAGATCCCCAGTACGCAGGGAAGAAATGAGAAGTTCGCGCATAATATTTTAGTTGAAACCCAGGTCTAAACCGAAGACACCATTTGGAAGACATAAGCGTAGATGGAAAGACATCATTCGAATGCATTATCAATAAATACGATCTGTGTGGTTTCCATTATCGCAGGATAGAGGCTGGTTGCGGGCTGTTATGCGTACAATAGTTAATCTTGTGGTACCATAAAAGGCAGGGTATTAGTGTCTCAAGAGGTCTCCGTTACGTGTGCAGATATAGCAAAATTACTCCGAGCTTCAACGACCTTTTTTATTTTTACTGCTATTGGGGTGGGACTAAGTCCCGTGTACTGCGGCCACTTCTGGCCTATTGTTCCAGCCCCAGATGATAGGTGAGGGTGATTGTGGAGCAATTGGTGGAATGAAGATTGGCAGGAGAATCCGAAGTACTCGGAGATAACCCGGCCCGGCGCCACTTTGCCCACCACAAATCCCACTTGACCAGACCCGGGATCGAACCCGGGCCGCCGCGGTGGGAAGTCAATGACTAACAGCTTGAGCTATGACGCGGCCTTCAGGGACCGTTACAAATACGAATATTGGTTGGCCAGTCAGCAAAAGCACGGGATGGGAACACCGCCAAGCGGTAGCGAATACGGGGAGAACCCAACCCGCCCTTCCCCTCTTTCTATGACGTAGCTCTGGCTCGGGAGATATTTTACGTCGACTGCAGTCTGATACAAAACGGCATTTCTTCCTGTGCTACGCAACATTCAAGTGACTAGACTGCCGTGGTAGCTAATACTACTAGGATATATATAAAAGGGCATAATCTGCTGTACCTAGCCTGGACTGACGGTGGCCGTGTAAATATTGTACATTTATATAAGAAATAAGTGTGTATTATAAATATGTGTAAATACAGACAGTGGACTTAGTACTACAGACTGACTAAGAAATGACAGACCCGACCTCTCGTCAGAGAGGGCGCTACACATAGACAAGACAGTAACTTTCATTCAAGAGAAATATCTAGTCATGAGCCCCAGCTGGGGCTCGACACCAAGACAGACAGACTGACTGACCGTCAGTTGCAACGTGACTCAGACTCAGACTCAGCTGCGCTACAGCCATGGCTTCATGGAACTGGGCCCTGCTTGAGAAGCCGCCAGTTGTTCCTGTAACAGGCCGTGGCGGCCCATAAAGGTGTGAGAGGTCGAGGCTCCCACATTATCTAGACAATCGGCTCACAGAAGGCGGTGAGGTTGTCAGCCTTATGTGCCGGCCACCCTTTACTCCCCAGGAATCTTCCTGGTACTCATTTCTGTTAGAGGCTGAGTCGACCCCAGGGCCATAGTGCGGTTGGAAGGATTAGATGAATTTAAAAAAATACAATGACTTTATTGGGACTCGACCCGCAACCCTCCGGCTTGTAGCACAGTGCCTCGACCAACTGCGCTACCGTGTCCTTGAGTAGCTGCACAACTGGCGGCTTCTCATGGCAGTTTCGGCTCCATGACTGAGTGTACATATGTATATAGAGACGGACAGGCAATGTGTTCTGTCAGGCTCAGTTATGAAGTCATCAGCACAGTGCTCGAGCAAATACAATGGCTAAGTGCCACACCGATTTCGTCTACCTTGTAACAAAGCAGCACAAAGTTCGTAATTTCTTTTTATTGTTACTCGCATGTCTCTCACGAAATGAAATCAGACCTTACGAATAAAAATATTACAATAAACTGTAGATATTATTATTATTATTATTGGAGGGGTGGGTTTCCCCATGCACCGCGACTAGTAGTCTATTGTACGTCCCCCTTTGATGTTCTACCAGTCTCTATACCCTACCGGTACTGGTGCGTGCCATCAGCCCCGACTTAGCCAGCGGGTTCGGCCTCTACTGGATCAGCAGTACTTCATGCTTCCCCCATCTACCAGAGGCGTTAGAGACTCTTGTTGGGCGGTAAATGTCCGAACATGAGGTTCTTGAGGACTTGTTCCCTGAATTTTTCCCGCCCTTAAAAATTCCACGACCTCCGCCGGGTTTGAACCCGCGTACCACGAGTCATGAGGTGGTAACGTTACCTCTAGACTACGGAGGCCGCTAAACTGTAGATAACTAAAACAAATGT